GCCCAGCTCCGACCCGTGATGGATTGGCTGCACTCCTGCCGTGACAGACGAGCGATGGATGGAGAGCTGAGAAGATGAAGGGGAGGAAAGGCATGGAGGGGGGAGCGGGTGCATGTGCGTGCATGCGCGTGCATGCGCGTGTGTGTGTGTGTTGGGTGAGAGAAAAGAGCTGAGTGCAGTGGCGTTGGTGCCAGGGAGGATCTTACATTGGGCCAAGCAGATCATTTCCTCCTCTGCAGCACGTGTCATTTCCTCTAAACAAACAGCCCCTCTGTGGACAGGGGAGAGGCTGAAGGCCTGCCCTGTCAATCTCTTTCTTCTATGTTCTTACTCTTCTGTCTCTAAGTCAGTGAGAGGGGGCACACATCATTTGTGTACTGTGTGACCGAACAAGTACAGAATTTGCATCCTCATATCAATGACAATTGCTGTGCACCTTTTCAGTGCTTCGTGAGGGCTTTCTGGATCACATGGCTGCACACACTCCCGTTTAGATCGGTTAATTCAGCTAATCGAGATGCCTGAAAGAATTGCCGCAGAGAAGTTCAGCTGTTCACCACATAAATTGGTCATTTTTGCAGTGACCAGCCATGTTAGGCATGATGTGAGACATGATTAGTATTTTCCAGTCTAGAGTGTGTTATGTGCGCAAACCACCAATTTAACTTGCATGTAATTGCACACTTAAAGACATAATGAGGCTGTTTGTTCCATTACTACACAAAGACACTTCATGCAGCAAGACAATCAATGAGGAGAGGACACACATGGCATACACGCACATTTTGATGAACATACTAACTGTTCTGCGCTCACACTAAAAAAGCCCCACTTTGGAGTTAAATGGTATGGTTTGTTGTTACTTTGATATGTGAGTATAAGCGTCAGAAAGAGCTAAATGTACAGTACTTACAAATGACAAAATGCTTTCATTTGACATTTACTGCAAATGTCTTAAAGACATCAACCACTCATAATTATTGCTGGAAAAAGAACTAAGGTGATTCTCACAAGATCTTTTTAACCTACCAGCTGAACAGATGTTGTAACATAATGGAGGATTTCTGATGCAGAGCTCAGTGAGTCAGACCAGACTATCACTATCTGTAAAAACGACTCAAACATTCAATATGGGTCATTTTAACAATGATTTATTTGGAATAAGGCAATCGTTTCCTTTATTTACTTTGACTGACTTTGTGCAATGGAGTGGTATAAAGAACTGGCAGATGCAAAAAGCTATGCAAATTCAAATTCACTATGTAGAGTTTGCTTTAAAGCTTTAAGATAAAACAAAATTACTTTGCATGTCCTTTATCAAAATCGCTTTTATTTTAGCTCATCTGTCACAGACTACATTTAAATTCTTCACAGATCTCCATATAAAAAGATAAAAAAGCCTAAAAACAACATTTATCTCTAATTCCACTTTGGTTGCCTGTTGTATCTTTTGGCAGTATAGGTAACTTTTGTTACAAGTGTCAACTTTGTGTGTGATGAGCTATGTGTCATGTCATTGTGTGTTTTTTTGCCCGGTTTTGATGAACTGGCGCTGAGTGACTTGTTGGTGCTTTTTCATTTGCCTCACCGCTTCTCGTTCACATGGAGTGAAGATATGCTGCTGTGTTACACACCAGGGACCAGAAGTGGTCAATAATGTGTTCGCATAAGAACTGTATGTACAACATTTCCTCCACATAAACTAGTGTATATAAAGGAAGAAATGTGCTGTTAAAATGCACATATCGCTCATATTCTCCCAGCCCTGTGTGCACATATTTTATAAAAGGGAAAGATGTCAACTTTATCATTTACACAACAGAGAACAAGATAATAATATTTTTCTATTTCATGATTTACTATCTTCGGCAGCAAATGTTGGCTTTCTATATAATTCAAACCTTCGTGAACCCGGTTATCTGAAATCACACTAACGTAGCACAAGATTGTCTCATAGGCGTCTGCAAGGCTTTTTAAGAGAACAAGCAGAGCACGATCCATCAGAACATCTGTGTCTCCCTCCTGATAATCCCCACTCACACAGTGTCCTGTACAGACTGTGTTAATCCATTACAAATGAAACAGGAGCCTGTTAGTCCTTCCATAGCTTTGATGTGATGTGGAGCTGATTGTGTTTTGGCAGCTGGTCTATAACTTCCAGATTGCTTCTAACATTTTTTTTTTTGATTGAACAATTTCTGCTCTGTTGGTGAAATCAGACTGAAAAGAAAAAAAACATGAGCATCTCAGTTGTTGTTTTTTTCTTTCCTATTGCGTTGTGATGCAAACCATCCATGTACTATATTGCTTATTATCAACTGGGCCGTGGGGCCTATCCCAGCTGACACAGGTAGAGGGTACCCTGGACAGGTCACCACTCCATCACAAGGCTACACAGAGACAAACAACCACACATGCTCACACTCACCCCTATGGGCAATTTGGAGTGTGCAGTTAACCTGGGATGGGAGAGAAAACTGAAAAACTGGGGAAAGGATTAAAGAGTAAAACACTTTTTGTCCATTTGGAGACTTGCACTCTGCTCTGCCAGTGAAGGCAATATGCAGCAGAAGACAGAAGTGAATCTTTCAGTTGCTGACATGAAACTTGAAATAGTGAGCTGAAAGATGCCTAAACCTGCTGATGTTGAAGCTTTTTTCCTTGTTATCAAAATTATTAGTTTTCGGGCATCTCATTAAAATCCATTTCATACAGAATTATTGATCAAAGCAGATTTGAAGTACAGTCATTGTGTCCTTGCAGGGACCGATGGAAACACAACGGATGATTACCTCAACAAGCCTGATGGGGCTTGTTGGGACAGGAGGAATGAGCACCAGCCTTCATCTGTACTTTGAGATATATGAGCAGAGTATGTATATAAATGTATATATGTTTTTGTGTGTGTGTGTGTGTGTGTGCGCGCATGTATTTAGCGGCCTGCACTAGCTGCTTAAGAATCCAGTCACATCTCTTGCTAGCAGGCAGGCAGTAAGGCGCTTTCACGCTCACAGGTTTGCTTTGGTTCGGTCTAATACCTCTTTTTTTTTTTCTGTACGTGTGTGTGTGAATGTGTGAGTGCACGTGAGCATGCGCTTAAATCTGACTGCATGCGTGCCGTATACTCCCCCTTCTTTGTTTCTTTACTTTCTGTTGGTGTGTGACAGTTGTGCGTTGAAGTTTATGACGTATGCGTGTGTGTGTGTGTGTGTGTGTGTGTGTGTGTATTGGTTCTCAGCAGCTCTGATAAACCCACTTAGACTCTCCCCTGATCTGCTCGCTCTGGGCTGGCAGCCCCCTGCCTTGGCTCTCTCTCTCTCTCTCACACACACACACGCTCACACACACAAACGCCGAGCCCTCTGCTTTAGCTGCTAGCTGATCTGTGACGGCCTGCCACTCAAACGCAGCTCCACTGAGACGATGCACAAAGGAGGAGTGGAGGCTGGGAGCGAGGGGAGGAAAGGAGAAGGGGGAGGAGGTGATGGTGGGATGAGAAAGAGAAAGAGAGAGGGTATCAGTGTCTTTCTTTGGGGTGCCTGCTAGCTCTCACTCTCTGGCTGACTCCTTATCTCCCTACTCCTCACTCTCCTCCAACTGACTGGTTTTGGCAGCTGCTCCTCACTCCCCAACTCCACTCCCCTTTCTTCCATCCCTTGTCCCCCCTCCTTCTCTCTCTCCCTGTTTCTGTTTCCTCCTGTCTTTATTTTGCTACCTGACCAAATGTCAATTCATTTTCCCTCTCATTTGCTTCCCAAGATGGGGAGACTTGGCGACAGATGAAAGAGAAAAGGCAAAAATTATGACAGAGAAGCAGAGCATATCACAGAGACGGCCTCCACAGGCATTTTGCCCCAAAAAAAGCTAAAAAATAACAAACTACAAAGAATAACATGGCTTGTTGATGAAATACACTGAATAGATGGACAGAAAACTAAAGGAGAGAAGATATGACGATAGGGCGGAACAACAGATAAAAGCCCTGCTTGTAGCTGTTCGTATTTTGTGTGTCCAGTATGTATCAGTGGAATGCAGCTAACATGCAGTAATAATCCACTGCAAGCAGCTCAACACTGGTTGAACTCTGCAGCTCCCAGTATTTGGATTTCCATGGCAACCACATATACCACACTACAGAATCCGGATGCTGGAAACTACATTCATAACCTGAGGAGGATTTGAGGTAAGCACTTTTCTGATATTAAATTGATCCCTGTATACTTTAAAAAATATTGTAAATTAGTGCCACTGTAGTAAGTATTGTATTGAAACAATTTTAAAAGAAGGTCTGCACAATAAAACTATAAACAGAGCGGTCAGCTGACCAGAAACAATTTGAGTCTCTTTTAAAATAATGGTGATTTGACTTCTTTCTTGTTTTCTTTAATGTAGGTGTGTCCTTATAAGTGTTTTCACGTACAATATGTGAGGGTGAGTACATATCTTTAGATTTTTTTTTTTAAAAAGCTCTGATGTCCATGCTCATATTTTCTGTTTTCCTTTTTTGTGGAATGTCTGCAAGTGGCCTGTGCATGTGAAGGAAAACTATGTCGATCGTGTATTTTCCCTTGACTTTAAAAATGAAGTGTATAGACTTTTGTACTACTCCAAAGTACTACTCCAAAGTTCATAAGCCAGTGTTGCGGTAAACCAGAAAAAAAGTGTAAAAACAAAATTTGCTCATCAGCATGTGTCTGGGAAACCAACAGAAAAGCAGCTTCACAACTGAACTTTACCATGGCGAAGGGACAAAGCAGTATGAGATGAAACAGCCAACAGTAGATGGTACGCGTGAGGTGGACCAGTGGGGGAAAGATTAATGAAAGAGAAAGCAGGGATTCTCTGCAAGTTGAGATGAACGACAGCAGCAAAGTTGCCTAAGACTGAGGATAGAGAAGAGAGACAAAGGTAGGACTTTGTTGTGGAAGAGAACAGCGTGCTCAGCAATATGGATCCATAGCCCTTTAGGTTAGAGAAGACAGAGAAATCTTCATCAGCACCTCGTCCCCTGTCAATATCGCTGACTCATCATTGCCCTGAAACACAACTGCAGGATGAAAAATAAAAAAAAGATTTAAACGGCCGCTGCCTCTATCACTGTTGCCATCTCGCATCAGTCGATCATCTCCACATTTCAGTATGAAAGATGAAAAATAGGAAAAAAAAGTTTTTGATTTGCTCTCTGAGCAGTTCAAACAGTTTGAGTTCAGCCCTTTAACTATTCTTCCCAAAGCCCAATGTGGGAAAAGCCTGGAGCTGTTGGGCATCTGTCCCAGTGCGAGCCTCACACCTGCTCCTGGCAAAAACAGAATAACTGTGTAAAACTCTCTTTTGCTCTCGCAGACTCTCTCTCCTTCCTTGTTTCCTCTTTCACTTTTTAATTAAACAGAAGCAGAGGGCTGCGAAAACCTGCAACTAATTACATAGTCATCCCCCCGCTTTCCCCCACTGCTTCTTGCTGCCTGTTCCTCCTCTCTTTTCCCTCTCCCTCCCTTTCACTCCTCTGTCTCTGAGCTGAGCTGGAGTTCTGCCAACAGCCTGTGGAATCACTTACCAGCCACCACGACAGGGGAGAGGAGGTATTACCAGCATATGTGCACAAAAAAATGTAGGAAACCATGCTGTGCGCATGCACGGATGCAGACGGACCGTTTCACAATTCAGACTGTGCAAAATGGCAATTTGGAAGCACACACAGGTCACACTGAAAACATCATGCTGTGCTTCTGCTTACCTGTTTAGCATCTTCAACACATTGTGTGTACGTGTTTGTGCCGCTCCCTGATGAGTGAGAACATGAAGCATATTTCACACCAATGCAAACAAAATCTCAACATCTGCAACTGCCTGCCTTCATATTCCTCTCCACCCTTTCTTCTTAGGCATTTCCATTGATGCCCCTCTCAACTCCTTCTTCAGTTTCCTCTTTCAGTTTCTTTTCTACCTCTTCGTGTGCTTTCCTTTTGTTTCCTCTCTCTGAAGTGATCAAACAAAAAATGTAAAAAACACCTCTCTCTCTTTTATCCATGTCCTTTTTGCCTTTTCATCTCTCTATAGCTCTGAGGGGATTGAGGAGAGGCAGCAACACTTTAATTCAGCAGGTTATCCAATCCATCGCACACATAATGTACAAACATGATGCTGCCGCAAATTACCAGCAGGCCATTGTGAGCATGTGTTGCTGTGGTGTGTTTGAGCAAGAGAGGGTGGAAAAACATTCAATAAAACCATGCCACAAACAGCATAAAGACATGTGTGGAGTCCCATCCACACAATAACAGCTGCGAGCAGCGCTGGGCGGAGGGAATGACTGAACAGCAGAGAATACTTGATGATAAGAGGATAAAGGAGTAGATACAGAGACTCAGTTTTAGCAAAAGTAGCTGGACAGCAGGAGTGGGCAGGATGCTGAAGCCCCCTCTTCTGCAATCAAGCCTCTGTAACCATCTGGACGCCATTTTAAAACCATCAGCTCCGGCTCCCAGTGTAAACAAGGGCGTGACCCCAAACATGCGCCCCGTACTAAATGGGCTTGTTCTGGCATCTGTGGACCCCAAAATGGCTGACTTTGCGGGGTTGAGAATTGGAGCCAGAATAACGGACTGGCTATTAGACAGCGAAGGGCGCTTTTTCTCTTCATTACGGCAGCAATTTCTGAATATGTGAAAAATATGTCAAGCTGTCATTCATCCAAAACTATTAGTGGAACTGTTCTCAGTGCTCCAGCATCCACAAAACTGATTTTGTTGAAGGTAAGATTTTTATCTTTTCGTTAGTCAATGGAAATGAGAGAATGGAAATGGAATGGAATGGAAAGGAAATGATCTCCTGGATTATCAGAGTTTTTTGTTTTGAATTAGGACTAAACTAATTACCTGATTACTGTACATTTCAACAGTAATGCTTTAGTAAGAATGACGGGTCACGTTAAGAATGCTATTTCAAAGCAAAATCTGAAAAACAACTGAAAGTAAACCCATCTTCCGCTTGCTAAAAGTAATTGTTTTCCATTTTACCAGAAACGAGTCGTGGACCAGCCATACAAAATGTTGGTCGTGGACAAAATGAGCCTCCCCACTTGAATTGACAAAGTGTACCAAAAGAAGAGCACATTCTGAGAGAATAAAATGGTGACCATTCCAAGATTTGTCATCAGACTAAAATGGAAAATGGAGTGTTTAAAAGTGTCATTATGTCTTTATGTGTGCAATATGTTATTTCATTTAGCTCCAGCCAACTAATCAATTAAAAAGTTTCAGGTCTCATTACAGTAACAAGGGAATGATATCAATAAACAGGTAAAAGTCCAGGACTACACATTTAGATTAACACGAACAAATATGCAAACAAGGATTAGGGATGCCAGATTACTGAGAATTATGATGTGCTTACATGGATAGAGAGATTGAGAGATAGAGTCTGTGACAGTGAAAAACAGAATGAGCGTGTCAGAGATGTGTGTATTCCTCTGGGAGGTCGTGTTGAAGATCTGATGCAAAGTTCAGACCCATGTGCGTGCACACACACACACATCCACATATAGACATATCTGGCAGAGGAATGATAATGACATGGAAATGATATGGTAATGATATGGTAATCTGGCAACATTATTCTGCCCACCAGAGACTATGAGGGAGAAGAACCTGCCACAAACTGTGCAGCCTAACACAGAATAAGACCTTACATGGCTAAGGACGGGTTCAACCTCTGTGGGGAAAGGTGTGTGATGTTGATGGTGAAAGAAGCGTCTCTGATATACCACCATTATTGCTTTTTTTATTAAGCAAAGATCATGTCTAACTAAGGACAGAATGTTTTTTTTACTTACTAACGACAGTCAGTGCTGTGCTCCTTTAGAACAGTTGTTTGTATTCATTAGGGGAAAATAATCTTGAGACATCCAGATATAAATGGCAAAAAGCTTGCAAGATTTATTTTTGGATGAGTTGGTAATTACCAACAATAACTGCTTTTTCATGAAATGTGGCTTCCAGCTTGTTTATTTATTTATTTTGCCAAATTGCAATTAAAGAAACTGGCGTATTGAATAAAGTGTATGCTTTATGAAACTATAATAGAATGGCGTGCATTGGTAAATACACCATAAAACCTCCTTACTATTCATTAAGGAGGGAACATCAATATGAATAAAAGACCTAAACAACTAAATTAACTGTTCATTTACTAGAGCTTTTATGTTTTATACAGAATAGCTTTGACAATGAATACAACGCTGCCACCCTCTGACAAAACATTTGCACTGCAGTTTCTGCACCGTGCAGAACATTGGCCATAGTGTACACCATAAGAACAATGAAAAGAGAAAGTTGCAGTATTGTTGTAATATGTAAAGTCTGTCCATGAAAATGTATCCATCAAAGCACAAGAATTTTTACTTTGCTTTATAAAGGGTAAAGACTTTCTCTGCATCACTTGTGAGTTTCCAAGATTCAAACCATTAGGAACTGAACCGTTTCACCTTTTTCTTTCCCACCAGAGAAGATGAAGTTAACCCAGGTGAGGCTGTCTGAATTTTCTTAAGCTAAGATAAAAGAGAAGAACACATTCAATCCACTTCCTTTGATAATATTTAGGTGAAATGTCCACAATCAAAACACTCTTCCTCCTTTTCCTCTCCTTCCAGCTTCTCTATTTCTTTCTTTCCCTCTGTTGTCACTCTGCTTGCCAAGCTGCTCTTTTTTAAGTGGCTGTGATTGACAGCTGGGCTATATCCATGCAATATCACCCAGCACACGTTCCTATTCCCTCTTGGAGCCTTCATCCGCCGGTCAAATTAACCTTCCGTGCCGACGGGAGGGGGCCCTGCGTGGGCCAATCAGCAGGTGATTAGGCCGGGGGTGGGAGGGGTGAGGGGTCACCGCGATGGGGCCATCGTAAGCCTGATTGGTTTCAATCAGCGGCCAGCCGCAAGGACAGCTGGGAGCTGAACTGCAGTGAGCGCTAATCAACGCGTCCCACAGTGAAGCATGAACAACCACCACCACACACACACCAGCAGGTTGATGTTTGTGTACACACACTGACAACACTTACCACTCTGCATGTACACACTCACTCAGACACAAGAAACACACTCAGCAAGACATGGGGAGCAGAAATGAACAGTCAACAGCACAACAGATCAACAGAAAATCCGCTCACAGACAGCAAAAAAAAGGGAGAAAGACACGTACTCAGAGGAACCAGAGTATCTCATGGTAACTAGCTTGACTAATTACATTGGATTCGTTAATTTGACCACTGGCACATCTGGTAGGGGGACCCGTGACATTGGTTTGGAACGCTCAGCCCCGAAAACCGCGAAAAACAGATCTCATGTGATGTCTCAAATGTGGAACAATCCAGATTTGCTTTGCTCCGTCTGATGCCATGCAAATCACTGTTCAAATACCAGCATTAGACAGTACAGACAAATGAAATGAGTCAAGTTACAACGAGCTTATTGTAACTTGTCTTTTTTTTTGGAGGGGGGGGGGTCAAATTGTGGAGGAAACACCAACCTGCTCTGGTTTCTGTATCTGACAGTTAAGTTTCTGGTAGGATCACAGGATGTCTGCGAAAAAGGACTGTAGCTGGACTCTGTTCACACCATGTTATTATCAGGTGCTTGCTCCAAATAATGTTTTATAAGCCACTGCATTGTCTCTTCATATTATTTTGTCTTTAAACAGAAACCCACAACAAAGAGCCAATGAAAAAAGGTGAGGTAAGGAATGATTACACAATTTAATAGGTTAAAACAGGCAATGAGTCATTCTTACATTGTAATTTACTGAAAATTGTGAGCATTTATTCTCCCCAAACATTTACAGTTTAGTGGTCAACTATAACACATCTGCGCATTTGACCATTGTATTTATAACACCAAGTGAGTAAAAACACAGATTTTAACAAGATTTTTACCGTCAGAAAATGTTCTACTTACAATTCAGACTGCTTTTTTCAAAGAGTAATAGTAATATAAATACTAGCTTTATTATTTTAAGGCACATATATTCTCAAAAGAACTAAAACAATTTTTAGGTAATAAAAAGATGTCACAATATTGTTATCCACCACCAGTACATTCATTTTAACTGCTGCTTAATACCAACAACAGTCAAGTCAGCCTTTTTTGTTGTTGGTGTTGTTTTTACTATTTTACAATGACAGAAAGTCCCCTATGGTCACAAGAGCTATTCATTCAGCAAACAACAGTTTTATCTTACTTCTGGTTTCCATATGATTTAATTATGTTGTGTTTTCAGCTTTTGCCCTCTAACCATCTGTCACTTAAAGTTAAAACAGTAAGTTTTAACAACATATTAAATAAATAATTTCAGAACATTTTAAGCAGTGGGATCAATTCCTCAATATAAGTTACTCTGATATTTTTGTAATTCGTCATTTAACTAACAAAATCAGCTATAGAAGGTATTGTGCGTTATCAATTAAGTAATAGCTAAAGTAACACAATACAACTTACACATGCAAAAGTTTAGTAACTGAATCCACAAATGTATCTAATCAAATTATTTACATTTCAAGAAAGGAAAAATATACTTTCAGAAATGTAAATTAAATGAAGCATCCCAATGGAAAAAAATCTTACTTTTACAATAAACAATGCATAATTAATGTTAATAAATTATACGGACTCAATAGTTTTAAAGATTTTACAGTGAACAAAAAAAGATATGTGTGACAAAATAATATATACTAGTTATGTTTCATCTCTTGAAACTTATTCACCATAAAATAATGTATTTCTTTATTTAATTAGGGAACATATTAAGACAATCATAATGCAAATAATAAAGCATGAAAGAATTAATCTATTCAAATCTGAAGCCAGTCATGACGGGGCTTGAGACAGATCATAGTTACGCTCATTTGGAACGCTTGAATATAATTTTTCTTTTGAAAAAGCTGAAATCAGTCAGACAGCAGGTTGGACTTTGGGTTTGACAGTGAGTGAGAAGAGAGCATACTCATAGTAGGGTGTACAGATGACTTCTGATCACTCAGTGAATCTGATGGTTCTTTTTTTGACAATGAATCCATAGAAAAAGCAAAGTTTTTTATTCCACCTCTGTCTTTTTCCGAGTAATTCCTAATTTCTTTGCGGAATGCTTTCTCTGTGTTTGCTTCACGCTTGAACAGAATAATGTAACATTTTGTGAAGAACTGACAAAAAAGAATGCCATAGGCTGAGATGAGGATGACGACCATTTCAACCGCTGGCAGGAACATGTTTTTGTCCGATAGTTTCACATAAACAGGCCCAAATATTATCCAGGCAATGAAATAGATCAGCATAGAGAAAGTGATGAACTTAGCCTCATTATAACATTCTGGGAGTTTTCTCCCCTTGAATGCAACAACCAGGCAAATAAGAGCTAAAAAGCCAATGTAGCCTAGCAATAATCCAAATGCAAGTTTTGATTTCTCATGACAATAATGCAAACGGTTCATTTCAATTGCCTTCCATTCTTCTTTTGGAGGTTCATATATAAGCCAAAGAGTACAGATTATCACTTGGCCTGCCATGCATGCTGGTATAATAAGGTACGGCTTGTAGAGCTTCTTGAGGATATGTTTGGTGTCGGGGTTGAATTCCATGGCCAAAACGATTTTAAATGACCTCACCAGGATGCAGGAGACAGACAATGTGAAACTTAAGCCAAACAACACATGCCGTGCCTGGCACTGCAGTGGATTGGGTTCACCACCAAATAATACTACACTACCAAATGTGAAAAAAAGAGAGGTGAGGAGCAGGATGGAAACGGGGCCCACAGATGAACGCACAACAGGGGTCCTCCAATTTGCGACGAAGATGATCCCAACAACGAGGGTAAGCAGTGCTCCAAGACCAGTAAACACCAGCAGGACAATGTGATACACATCACCATACTTAAAGTATTGAACTTCTTTATCTTTGCATCGAGAAGCCCCTGCTTTAGAGTAACTGAAATTGCTATCACACTGGTAACATTCAGTTGAATCTGCAAACAGAGGACAAATGTCCATCATAATCTGTGAGTGGAGGTTTACAGGGCAAACCTTTCTGTCAGAAATATTTAACTCGTTTGAATATTTTGGATTGATACACACCGGTGATGTTGGAAAAGTAGTTGGTGGGGCAGGATTCACACTGATAGCAACAGGAAGGCTGGCCGTCAGCACTTTTCTTGATTTGGCCTGGTTGACAGCTGTTTGAGCACTTGGAAATTATTACTTGCTGTGTAGAAAAGATATCATCATCATGCAAGCAGAGTCATTCATAGTCATGTATTACAATACAAAGATTTATCTATAAAATACATAGCATCTCTGGCCTAAAACAATCAATTTATATTAAACTGAGCCCATATTATGGTTTTTTAAAGGTTCATAATCATTTGCATCATGTCTTCTAGTACTTGTTTACAACTCACAGTGTTTTCTTACATTTATTCATAGTCTCTTACACTTTGCAAGATGAAATGTTATGAGCTTTCTGGAAAAAACTTGACAACAAAATAAATATTCAAGATATCGCTGACTTTTGCAACGACACCAGATAAATTTGACAAACATTGCCTGGAGAGTATTGTGGGTCTTTTTTTTTGTTTTGTTTTTAGGTGTGGTACTACTTTTTAAAAATGTAAAAGTATGACATCCATGTGGAGATGGATGCATTGGAAAGAGGATGCTTTTTAGTCTTACACCATGATCATTCTAGAAATTTAAAATCCAAGTAAAAAAAAAACGGACCAGTTAAAGATTAATACTTACTGTGAGATTGTATAAATCTTGTTTTCTTGAGAATTTCAGCTCTGATTTCTCTATGTCATAATGTCCTACAAAATTATTCATGTCTATAACAGATGGTGAAGTCTCCTTCCACAAGATGACATCATAACCCGAGTTTACGTCACCGTTGTCATCAAATTCATAGGTTTTTCCATCCATGGTAAAGGTGGCGTTTCGCAAGGCTTTTCGGAACTGAAATTGCAAAATGTTACAAGCTGTGATTATTATTAACTTTTTTGAAATACTTTTTTTAGTATTAAATGATTTTGACCTCAGCAAAACCATTTTCTATTTATCAGGTATTGCAGAAAATAGTATTCTTAGCTACTCAAATACATGAAAGAGTGTGTGTTTCTTTGTGCATACAAACCTACCTCCTTGGGCTGTAATGTGGATATGTTGCACTTTTGCCTGATGCAGAGATCTTTAACAGCCTGAGCAATTGCTGTAACCGCCAACTCAATACTAAACACAGAATATGGATATGTCATGTTGATCAATTCCCCAATGCCTTTTTCCTTGTCATCCTTTAAAAATTCTTCCAAGAATGGGTTGTTTTTGTGCGTTTCATTTCTAAGGCTGTGGAGAAACTGTACAAACTTAAATGTGTTTCCAGATTTAAGTGTGATCCCAAAGACTGTTCCAACATAAGACAAATTCCATGTTTTGGTATTAAGTGCATTGGTTGATTGTGACCAATTATCACTAGCCAACCAAACTTTCTCTCTGCCACGAGGATCCTCGAGAACTCCATTGAAAACGTACATCATATGATTGACTTTTGCGAAGGATATAATGACTTTCACATTTCTATGTTCTACGATGCTCTTGATTGTGGAATTGATGCTCTCCTCCAGTCTTTCGTTAGCGAAAAACTCTGGCAGAATGGCAGTGTAGGCAAAGCAGATGTTGTCCTTGGTTGCGTGGTACCGGAGGCGTTCAAGTGCATAGCGACCATATTCACCATCAGTCGTCACTACACCAACCCAGGTCCAATTGTGATCTTTAAGAATCTTGACAATGGCTTTTGCCTGGTGATCGTCCTCTGGTACAGTCCTCATGAAGCTTGGGAAGCGTGTTTTATCACTCAGGAGACCAGATGTTGCACCATAACTTATCTGTGCAAATATTACAAAAGTAGTCAGTGGACAAGCGACATTCTTATCTGCAATAGATATAAGCAACGTTTTCTGTAATTATATTTTTGTTCTGAAATTTGGAAGAATGCTCTTAGTAGCTGAGGCTTTGAGTAATCCACCAAATGGTTGAATGCTGAGAATTAGCTCAATATGCATGAAGGGAGGTTACAAAAACATTCTGGTCACATTATATTTGTTTCATTTATTTATCTTTTTATTAATAATTTAGAACAACTATAGATGCTTTACTAAAATCTAAAGAATGCAATTGAGCTTGTTCATACCTGAGGGATGTTCTCCAGGTTTAGTTGCCTTGTAACTGCGATTGATATCTCTGAGTAGTAATCACCTACGACAGCCAGCACAGGCGGGGTGGTTCTATCTGCTAAAACAGGTAGTCACATTCATCATGAAAAGAAAAACATGCCAACTCCACACAGCCCTCCTCTACTGCTAGGATATGTACCTGGACTTATTTTGCTGTGAGGCGTTGCTGCCAACCACCACATCATCTGCTGCATTATATATGCTAACATTTTTTAGGACATCCATTTGACACTCAAAGCTATACTCTAGTTCAGTCATGCAAAGAGACAATAATCCTGTCCTTATTGTCAAATCTCAAACAGAATTTCCAGAATTAAAATAATTGAGACATTACAGTGATCCAGACTAAGTCAAAGTCCTTTAGAGCCTCATGACACCATGAGAGACTGATAGCTGTAGACTGAATATGTTTACAACAAACAAATTATGATTCTCCATAACATCGTAACTCAGTTTTTGAGAACATTTCAAAAGTCTGCCCTTCGTGACGAATATCCCTCAATGTTGAGCAATCTTGTTTTGAGAGCACTTACTGTTTGCCTTCATGAAGGATTGGGTGTTTTTGAGGGCAGTTGTAACATCACCACAGGAGTCCACTATGTGATATCCCAGGGTGATGTTCCCCAACACACGATTCTTATTTATCTCCTCGACTGCGTGCACCAGAACGAGAGACTGAGCCAGCCGGCCAACGCTTAACCTGATCCAACCATAAATTTCAGATTAAGATAATTCATACTATGGCGTCACAAATTCAAACAATGAATGAAACTTTTTGAAGACCTACCTGTTACAGGTCCATGGATCATTTACACTTTTACGTCCAACACCTTCGTGGATTGGGAACAATCCTCCTATAATAATGTCACCTGAAGCTTTGGCTTCTCTCATGCATTGCACGAAGAAAAAATGGCGTAGTAAAACTGAGAAAAACAGGAAAAAAGTTAAAAATGGTTTCATTTTCTTCATCTCATTTGATTCAATCTTCTGAAAAGTTTAAACCGTTTTGAAATATTACTTGTGTGTGTCTGTCAAGAGAATTGACAGAAGACAAAGCGGTCAAACATCCTCAACTTTATATACTGCTGATCATTCTTTTTCCTTGTTATGGTCTGACTGTCAGTTTGCGTCATAAGTATGGAATGTGAAAAAGTATGTTGTTTTTCTTTCCTGGTTTTGTGACATTACCATTCTTAATATCTAACAGCAATTAGACACATAAATAAGAAATACTGAATATAGTGTCAAGTTGTGTTCAACATCATGGCAGTGAATTTTGTCATTTTTGTGGAATGGAAAAATGTTTTATCTTTAGAATAAATCCATCTGTTACATAATCTCTCAACAAGGAAACCTAATAGGTGGCACCCAGAAGTTTAAAAATATATACCCTGTAAAGCTGAAGGAAGTATCTGAGGGTTTTTTTTGCTTTTTTTGTGTCTATTGTTTCCTGCTGGTCTGTAGGCTATAATTAACCAAGGAATTCTGGAATTTTGTCATAGACTGCCACTCCCTGTATCTCACTGACAGTGGCTTTTCAATGACAAACCTTATTGCAATACTCTCAAAATTATATTATCCATGTAACCCAGGTCCAAACCAACTAAACTATAAATACAATCCTTTAAAGTTAAATATTTTAGAATATTTGTTTCCTGAGGTTTTGCCAAAGTAGTCATACATTTTAATACAAAATTAAAGCATCTCTGACTTGCACACAGTAGATCGAATCTGTGATGATTACTGATAAGTCACGAGAGAAACGAGGAGTCAGAATACCTGCCTTCTTTTTGCAACATTTCATGGTAGGAGTTGCATTTGCAGTCAGAATGAAAGAATAGAAATGAGTCTCCAGAGACAAAATAACTGAAAAGCTTACAAGCAAAATCAATAGGCACCAAAGGTGGCCTGATAAGAACTTGCTGTCATCATAACTGTCTGATTTGCCTTAAGTTACATAGAATAAGGTTGTTTTTAAAATTAAAACACAATGGTCCGTCAAATCATTCTGTATAAACTTTCCATATGTTTTAGTTGTTATTACGGGCCCGTAATAACAGCTAACCTACAACCCCAAAATTAAAAAAATGTAATTACAGTAGCAAATCTGTGCTGAAGGTTGTGTCCTTCTGTCCTTCTTATCTATATTATTATGAATTTGTTTCTGTGTTACCTCAAAGACTGAAAGGTTAAGCCTTTTTTTCTCTCAAATTTAGGTGATCTTTATTAATAACAAACAAGAGGTATATTAAGATAATGAAACATAATGAATTATAATGAGACAATGAGATATTATCAAGGTATTTACATACAACTGTCTTCAATTAATCATTTTGAGGACAAAGTAGTCATTCCAAATCTACAATTAAAAAGTCAAATATCTGGAGGGTTTTTTCGACTTTTCTGATAAGAAAAGTTGTTTAAGTTATTATTTCAATACATTGGAGCATGCAGTTAAAAAATAAATCTATGTTGTGGATTGGAACTGTAGCATTTTGCGTTTTATGTATAAACTTTGACAAAAAAAATCAACTACTGTATTTTAACTGTTGAGTACTGGTGTAAATTACGTGTTGATATGTGACATTTCAAATATCCATCTTCACAAAAGTAACAAGTGCGAAGAAGATTTAGTGAATCAAACTTCCGTGTCATCGTTACAAAAGCCGCCAGTCAAGGTACTATCTTTTCAACAGAGAATTAGCACTTGAAAGAGAACTTAACCGCAGCAGCAGGGACTCTACTGGCTCGACATCTGACGGAACCATGAGCACGCGACAGAAGTCTAATGAGTTGAAGCTTCTGCGCATATGCGGAACAGAGAGCGCGAGAGAGTCCCACAGACTTCGGTTATTGACAGTACCTTCCTCTTCGTTAATAAGGAAGACAGTAGTTGGATTGTCTGCATACCAGAGACGCATTCACAATCTTTTCGTGAGATCTTTTCCTCTTTCAGACCAGTAAATCAAGTAGTAAAAGCAGATGCCAACTTAACTTTGAAACTTGGGGCAGTCTGAGGCAGCGGTAAGAAGATTTCTGTTTACCTCATTAGCATGAGCAAACTTTTTGCGTGACGTCCATAACTGCTTTTATAGTTGGTTGTGTATGGAGGGGGCGAGCCACTCGGTACAGTGAGGTCATCTGCAGAATATTTTGTTTTTGTAACTTTACTCTCAGAGTACTTCTACTAGTTGTAAGTTCGGTAATGCTGTCAAAACAGCCAACAGCTGTTTGAGGAAGTCGGCTGTATTGGAATTTGCTAACATGCATGCTAATGAATTGAGATGTCATCATCCCTCAGAAATGTTGACGCTTTCTGGCTAGTGGTTTTGACTTTCGGCGGTTACAGACAAGAGAAAAAGGCGTACTTTTGAACTATTGTCTCCTTCCTCGTGACTCTGAGCGTGCTCCATCTATTTCATGGAAGGTTGTGCGCGAGCACTGTCAGAGTGACATGGAACCAATGGGAGTTTAAACGGATTTTAGAGCAGACACCACAGCGCTACTGAAGGGTCTGCTGTCATTGCCTTCGACAAATGTTCCCAAGGAAACTTACCCCCCCCCCCCCAAAAAAAAATAAAACAACCCCAAAACATTTACAACCATAGACCCAATTATGAGGATTCTACACATCCTCAAAAACTAAGCGCACATCATTGATAGTATACACACAAGCAGGGGTTTTACTTCCTCTCAGGAAGCACAAATGTGAACTTGGAAGATAACAAAGAAAGTGCTGGGTTTACAAAAAATCCCTTTAAAGATAGAGCAAAGCAATATTATGTAAATATATTCCCTGAAACGTTCAGTGTTTCGAATGCTGATCATTCATTAAACTGAAATAAAACTAAAATATTTAGCCAATTTTCAAAAGTGATACCTTTGGCATTTGGTCAAAATACAACACTTTGGCACAGTACAGCACTTTATGATTACAGCGGCTCCACGCTATACACCTTACCTTATGCCTCTCGTCCATCTGCATAGGCTGCGTCTTTCTTTAGATATATAACCGCTATTTATTTACACATTTACATTTGGAGAGACATTACACTGAATGACACCTAAAGAATGCTGCTGCTGTATTTGAAAGAACAGTCACATGGACATACCAATTGTACCTTTTATATTTTTTGTTTGGGGTTTTTGTGTTTGAGTTGGTGGATTGGACGGATTTTTCTTATATTCATAGAATATCCTATTTAAAGGTGGTCTGTGCTAAGTGGGTTGGCTATATTTATGTAAATGTTCTTTGTTTAAATTATTGACTTTTTGATATCCTCAACTGCAGTGTTGCTTTCATTTGCAGATTTCCATATACCAACATTAGATCAGATGAATTATGTAAATAAGCTTTTTGCTGGTGATTACTGAAATGACTTGGTTTATTCAAGTGTTTCTTAACGTGCTGCATTTTCTTTTGTCACATCATTTTGTCATGTTATATTTGCATTGCACAGACTGATGCCAACAAATATATATATATATGTATAAAATTAGGGATAATAATTCACCTTGATTATTATGATTTAAAATTTTTTTTTGAACAAATCATAATTAAACAAATTAAACTAATCACTTTTTATACTTCTTCTCTTTTCTGATGATCTTTTTCTTAAGACAAAATGCTTGTCCCCACTCCAGTGATGTTTTCCCCTTGGTGGGAGATCTTTGTCTCAAATGGATCCTCTCCCTCGGGCTTCCTGGACAACAGTAGCTGCTTCAGCTCCAACCAGAGCACCGTCCTCAATGGACTCAAATTCGGTGGCGTACCACTGGTCCTCTTGCTCGACTTCTGTGTCTTTATTGTATGTTTCCTCTGGCTTCTTGTTGTATAGTTGACTTAAAGTTAGAGAACATTGAGCATAATGTAAGAGTAACCTTTGAGTAATCAAAGGTCTTAATGTTTTGTGCAGATTAATTAATATGGCACAGCTCAAATTTAGTTTGCTTTATTTGCTCACACATGTTCTATTCGTGCTTAAAACAATCGGTTTTCATACCCACAGGTGTTGCTGATCCTCTTCTCGACTATCAGGGAGACGTTCTGGGATTATGGCCGCTTAGCTTTGGTTGCAGACAATGAAGGGTCAGCTCATATTCTGACACATTTTTCTTTATCAGCTTTACGAGTTGTTGAGTTTTGCAGGCATACTTATTGAATTATCCAGCCAGGTTGTCTTCATTGGCTTAGTTATAAGGAGTATCTTCTAATATATTATTCTCTTCTTGTGTGAAAAAGTCTTTGACAACAATGTTTTTTGTATCAGGTTCAATGAGTCAACACACCGTCGCTACGGACATATGTCGTCCATTTCCTCCAACGTGGATGACCCTGAGTACGAATCAGTGAGTAAATACTAAAAAGTAGTCTAAAAGGACCAATTCTGAAGCTCAAAATGATTATATACTTTTGAAAAAGATTACTTACATGATCAACTGGAATTACACCAAACTAGATTTGAAGGACATGATATAACATAAAGTTGGTTTTAGTTTCAGATTCCTCTTGGGAAAGCAAATGGAACATACCCAGAATTTCAATATAATCTTAAGTGTAAATTTGGTGTCGTTAACTGCCTTTTTTTTTCAGGGGTTCTGTTCCTGGCTGCCTTACATCCTCAGAATGGAGTAAGTGTTTTCTTTCTCTCTACTTTAGTCTGTTTTACCGTTCCCACGAATGAACATGTTGTTTGTGTTTCAGCGAAGAAAAGATTAAAGAGAGATGCGGCATGGACGCTGTTCACTACTTGTCCTTTCAGCGTCACCTGATTATCCTGCTGGTCGTCATCACCGTCACCTCCCTCGCAATTATACTTCCTGTGAATATGACTGGAGACCTGCTGAGTAGGTTTAACTCTAAACTCTACACCCTGCCTCTGAAGTAAAATAAAAAGACACTGCAGGAGACTGAATTGGATGGTTATTGCTGTCCTCTTTACACACCTGTTTAGTGATAAGAGCCAACTGTGAATCTCTTATAAAGTTAAATTACTTTTTTCCTGAGGTGCAAAGGACAACAACATAACATGCTGTCCATATGAGCATATGACAGAAACAATAGGAAACATAATGTAATTTCAAGCATAGCAAGCATAAAATGAAGCTGTAAAAGCACAGCACACTATTTATGAGAAATCTATTCAACGTCAGAAGCAAATCGAAAATGTTTCTGTTACAGGAAGTGATCCTCAGAGTTTTGGACGGACAACCATTGGGAATCTTAAATCTGGGTAACTACCTCAGGAATGTAGGACCTACAGATTATATGTCTGAACCGTTGCTGTTTGGCTTTAACAAACCTTCTGTGCTGCCTGTTTTTCCTTTCAGAAATGACCTTTTGTGGCTGCACACTGTGTTTGCGGTTCTTTACCTGACGCTCACAGTGGTGCTGCTGCGGCTCCACACATCTCAAATGAAAGGCATGCGCAGAGAGACGGTGAGTTGTTTAGGTTTTGATTTTGTGTACCGTATGTATTTCTGTTAAAATAAGCTAAAAATCCTTTTTTTCTCCATCTGTGTTAACGATAGGCTGAATTATACCTAGATCTTGCCAAGTTGTAAAATTATATTGCCTTTTTTAATAGGCCAGAAACACGCTGTTTGTGTGTTCAGTCCCTAAAACAGCAACAGAAGAAGATATAAAGACCCACTTCATGTAAGTGCACAAAACTGAATAATGATCAGTTTTATGTTTCTATTCAAACCAAATTCTTGTCCTTATGGAGAATGTTGGCTTAGACCCAGTCAATTCCTCATTGCCAGTTCTGTTTGTCCACAGAGATGCTTATCCATCTTGTCAAGTGTGTGCTGTCACTTTGGGGTATGATGTTGCCAAACTCATGCATCTTGATAAGGAGAGGTAAGCAGTCAGAGCAAGTTTTTCAGAAATAATGTAATTACCTTACTTTGTGTTAGCAGGAAAGTTCTAGCACATGCGAGTGATCAGACTTGTTAACCAGGTAATCACTGGTAAAGCGGACATTTCCTGTTTCCCTTTACCCTTCAGGAACCTTCACTTCAGCTTTATTCTTGATAAACAGGTCTCTGTTTTGTCTTTTTGTTTGTTTCTCTAGGATGCGAGCTGGAAAAAACCTGCGCTTCTATGAGCGCATCCTGGAAAAAACGGGAGAACGGGAGCTGTTCAACCCCCGTTTATGTGGCCACTTGTGTTGCTGCTCCAACTGCGAGAAGGTGAGATGACGGTCAGTTGCTTTAAAGCAGCAAAGAAAATAACTGACTTTTGGTACATCTGAAAGAAACTACAACATAATGTTTCTGCATCTCTCAGGTTGACGCTATAGAGTATTACAGCGCAAAAGAAAAATATCTGCTGGAGGAAGTGAGGCAGCAGGCAGAAGTAGTGCCACAGCACCCCCTGGGGATCGCTTTTGTCACCTTACAGACAGAAGCTATGGCCAAGTAGTAAGTAGGCCCATCTGTTGGTACAAGGCATAATGTCTTAATTAAAATACAGCCATGACTGTATCAAAAATTCTTTGTAACAATCCTTTTGACTATCCATGTCTTAAATTGTCTTCTTCTCCGCATGACTTTTCATAGAGAATAGGCCTTTGTGCAACTGTCAGTGCCCAAAGCTGGATAATGTATATAACAGCAGTTTCTTACTCACTGCAGCATTCTGAAAGACTTCAATGCGCTCAAATGTGGCGGAACAAGCTGCTGCTGTGGGGGGGAGGTCCAGCCCTCATCCAGAAGCAAGATTCTGAAAGTGAACAAGTGGCGGGTCAGCGTAGCGCCACATCCCAAAAGCGTGTATTGGTGAGATCTTAAATGTGATAAGAGCTCCATGTACGTCATGTGGCTTTGTATTAATAACACTGGAATGAGCAATAATTCAATATTGTCATGAAGTCATTTTAGTGGAATGATTTGGCCTTGTTTAACAGAAAAGCATTCTCTGAAAGCTAATTTTTCAGGTTAAAGGACTTTTAAACAAAGTGACCTGAAAGTAATATGTAACTCTAGAGCATATTCAGTTGTACTAAATATAAACTGTGGTATAACAAAATGTTTGGGATCTTGCAGAAATGTTAGTTTTTTGGCTATTTTGGTTTAATGGAATATTTCACAATGTGTCTCTATTGAATTTTCAAATATTACGAATGTTTCTGCTTTAAACTAAGCTGAAAATAACACTAACTCTTTTTCCCCTTTGTGGTAACTACTGTGTTTGTTTATGTACTTTACAGGGAAAACCTTTCCGTGCATGGTTTTGGCTGGTTCTTTCGCTATGTGATGATCAACTTCTTCCTTTTCTTCCTGCTCACGTTCCTGACGACTCCCACCATCATTATTAACACCATCGACAAGTTTAATGCGACTAAGTCCATCGACTATCTTAATGTGAGTGTGGCCCAGCCTTAAATGAAACAGTTTGGCTTTTTAGATCTTCAGGTGTTCATGTTGCTTTCTGTTTCCCACTCAGAGCCCCATCATCAGTCAGTTCTTCCCAACTCTCCTGCTGTGGTCCTTCTCTGCCCTGCTGCCTACAATAGTGTACTATTCGACACTAGGAGAAGCACACTGGAGCAGGTATCACACACTCACACACACACACACAGACACAGACACATTGTTGTTGCTAGAGGGCTGAGTGGTTTCTGTCACCAGAGGTAAATGTTCTGTTCCACTGCCCACCTGTTCCACAGGTCCAGTGAGCAGCTAAGCATGATGCACAAATTATACTTCTTCCTGCTCTTCATGGTCCTTATTCTGCCCTCGCTTGGACTCACCAGGTAATTTTTGTAACTTTCAGTTTACAAAATTCATCACACGCTCAATTTTCACATCTCTGGTGTATTATCATCAGAAACATTAAGATATGTCAAAAAACAGTGAGATGTGCTTTTCTCATTTCCTGTGAGCATGCAGGTGCTTACTGTGGAATAACTAAGTAGAGAGTCAGGTGCAATTTTGCTGAAAATTATTCTTTAATTTTAAAAGAAGATGCATCATTGTAATGAATATGAACCTTTAGCAACTTTTGAACTTTTTTGCTGTTTCATCTCAGTCTCGCAGTGTTTTTCCGCTGGCTGTTTGATAAGGAGTTTCTCTCTGGTGGGAAACTGAGGTTTGAGTAAGTATTCCTTTATTAAAAAATTCCTTTGTTAATAAAAACGTTGAATTAATTTCAAGGTCTCCTGAATCATAATATAGAATTTTCATGTTTGTTGACGTCTCCTCCATCAAGTTTCACTAAACTCGCAGACTTTTGACTTTTTTATGCTTTCTGTATTTAGCATTGATGCAGCCATTCCTTAGAGGCTAGTGAAACTGTTTCTGAACCTGGGACTTTTAATTCCTGATTGAATTTTTGTTATTACCTGACTCTTAACTTTGGGCCCTCTTTTCTTTTCTTACACCAGGTGCGTGTTTTTGCCAGATCAGGGGGCATTTTTCGTCAACTATGTAATTGCAGCTGGCCTTGTGGGCTCTGGGATGGAGCTGTTGCGCTTGCCAGGATTACTGCTCTACACCATCCGTTTGATGCTTGCTCGTTCTGCTGCTGAAAGAAAATATGTCAAACAGGTTTGCAATGTTATAAGCCACTTTCCCTGCTTTCGATGTGACACAAGTCATGAGTTTGTCTTTGTTAAACTGTGTTTATTAGAACTATGTGAAAAGCCCCACACAAAAGAGATATACAGGTTAAACAGTTGCCTGACAAGAGAAAATAATGTTTCATTTTAAGTTTGTTTTGTGAACCTCACCTTAGCATGACAAACTAACTAACTTAGTTTGCTTTCCACTCACAGAACCAAGCCTATGAGTTTGAATATGGAGCCATGTACGGCTGGACTCTCTGTGTTTTCACTGTCATTATGGCTTACAGCATCATTTGTCCTATAATTGTCCCTTTTGGTGAGTAGTTAATCACACAGTCAACATTCCACCTCTTGTATTCCCTACTAGTCACCCATTATCCGGTGCTTGTTTCTACACTACATCTCTCCAGTGACTTTCCCGATATCATCGACTGATTTGTGTTTGATTCCATCAGGTCTTCTTTACATGCTGCTTAAGCACATGGTTGACAGACACAACCTGTACTTTGCCTACCTGCCCACTCGCCTTGACCGCCAGGTGCACCTGGCAGCTGTCAATCAAGCTCTGGCTGCTCCAATCATCTGCTTAATTTGGCTTTACTTCTTCTCTGTCCTCAGAGCAGGTGAGAAATTGGTAAAGATGGACAAATGTTAATGTTGATAAACCTCCTCAGAAAAAATGTTAATCAAAATGACACATTTAGAAAGTTGTTGGTATCATAAAACCCTGATGGCTTAGAAATGGCTGAAGGAAGAGAGTGGGCGATGATGCCTGAAACTGTTCACCAGGTCCCAACAATTTCGAGCTCTTACTCCCTCAGATAAGCAAGCAGGTGTTGGCAGGTGGCTCCAACTCACTTCGCTTGGCCCAATCTTCGCTGGTCACGCCTAGTTGCCACATGCTCAGTGAGGCCCCTTTCCACCATCTAAGACCTGCTATCTTAACATTGGGATTTGCTGCAAATCCTTGCTAGTAAACAGCTAACTTCTCCTTTAGCAAGCGCATAATTTCCCCTGTTCCTTATAGAATATGCAGGTTGGTCATGAAATCCCAGCCCACAGCTAGTGAGGAAGGTTCTGCTTTTTTCTGCTTAGAACATATTGATGGTCTTAACACACCTCTCTAGTACAGAGTATATTACCCTCCAGGTTTAAAGCACAAATGCTCAGCCATAACATGGATGGCTGGTGTTGCTTATGTCATGTTTTGTAACACATTAAAAACAAAATCGGAGCATGTTAAATGAACATTAAATAAAGTACATGTAACACAGTTAAGATTTTGTAGTTGAGGTGGATAGTTGATAAAAACTATGTTGGTGATGATGACATTTCAACTTGGTCACTGAAATTTACATGCACAAAATTTTAGATTTGATTTCTGATTGCCCAGGTTCACCTAGCCCAGGTTATTTGAGTTAAATTTCTATTTTAAAAAAAAGTAAAAGGATAACCGCTAGTAATGTCCGACATACTAAGAATTTGTCTCATGTTTGTTTTACTTTCTCTCCATATAGCTATATATGTAAAATTGGAACTTTCATTGATGAAGGAAAATAATCCAATGGAGCACATTTGTGAGGGACATTAAAGTGTTGACTTTAAGGTGCGCAGACCCCAACTTTGCTCGATGTGTCCTTATTCTCTATCTCTTCTTCTTCCTGTCTTTATTCATAACCAACGTTCCCACTGACCGTATACTACACACAGGCCTTTTTGGTGATAGAACAATAGTAGAGTCATTATAAGCAAAGACTGCTTTGTTTGCATTTTTATGTATGCTGTCTTCCAGTTTGCTTTGTTGAATACCATTTGTAGACTCCTGGCAACACTGGTGTCGCAAGGAGACCCAGCAGGGAGCCCTTTCACCTAACACCAGTTCTTGATGTCGGTTTGGTCTATAAGAGCCTAAGTCTACATCTTTTCTGCATTTAGCCTATGAAGATCTATACATGTGCAAATTAGTCTCATGGGCACTTTCCCTTACTCTCTTTCTTTCATGTGTGAACAATTGTTGTCATTGTCTTTTGATGCTTCCGCTTTTCCAGTCAGGGAGACATAGTGCCAGGTCACTGTTCTGTATCCTTTGTTAATTGTTTTGGTGTTTTGTTGTTTTTTGTTTGTTTTGTTTTGTTTTTTTAAGCAGGAGAAGAGATCCCAGTAATTATTTTCAAAAATCTATGAGCCATGGCCTCTACAGTAACAGCAGATGAAAAACGTTGAAACAGATCTCATGGAGCTCAGGAGCTATCCTGCTATCAGTAATTTACTGTTTACCTTAAGAAAAGTGGCTAAGAGAGTACAGGCTGTGCCTTACCTTACCATACCGTTATATTCTGTATGATCCTGTGTCCTTGTTGGAAATAACATTGGTTATGAATAGTTAATGATTTACTGCTGCTCTCCAACATGCATACATGCATGCAGCTGCTTGTCTTGCTGATGGTGCTCCCGATAGTGTAAGTCAAGCTGTGAAGCTGCATGTGTTTAAATGTGGGTAAAAGAAGCTGTAAACGACGCAACCCTCACAGCTTAGTGTCTCTTGATGTTTTGTCAAACTTGGACTATATTTATTTGTCATGTGCGAGATTACTCCACATCATGGTGTAAAAGTTAATTTCCCTCCCCTTGACATTTGTTGCCCTTGGCAGTCACGTGTTGCTAATATATGGCGTGCTCATGTTTACAAAGGGTTCATAAATCCGCATCTTAATAATTACCTTCAGGTCTGCAAAAGCACACTGTGTTAAAGACACAACGCCTCTGTGTGCATTTGATGTTTCAGGTTTCTTGACCTCCACGTCTCTGTTCACCTTGGTGGTGCTCTGTGTCACGGTCCTCATCTGTATCAGCGTAAGCTGCTTTGGCCATTTCAAGTACCTTAGTCCTCACAACTACGAGGTTGGTGTTTACACGTGTGTGATGGGCTGCTGCTTCAATGTCTTTTTCTCACAGGTAAAGACTCTTATTTGTGTTCTTTACAGGTCAAAGAGGAGGATGAGGACAAAGTAGAGGGAGTGGAAGACAATACCAGGGTACTGTACTTGTGGCTGTTCTTTAAAAAATTCCTAAACATCATTAAAGATCAAAGATTTTTCAGACATGCTTCATTCCTGACCTGAAGTTAACCTCTCTGTGCATTTATTGGACCTATTGGTCATGCTTATTTTGTTAGTCATTAACAAAGAATTGACTTCCATCATGATCAATTGTTTTTCCTGCTTGACCTGCCCCAGAAATGGCAAATACTTTACACAACATAATAGGGCATGACTAAATTGAGTGTGAGTAGAAATGTGTGTAGCTCTTATGTGCCACCATTAGGTTGTCTCAGTCAGCTTTGCAGGTTGAGTTATTATCAATGTGGATTTTGCAGGATCTTTGTCAGTCTCTTATACTCAGTAATCATTTGTAACACCCATAAAAACATATTGAGATCTTGCATACATTTTCGTCAGTGCTCACATCTTTCCTCTTTACTTGGTTTTTACAGGTTTACCTTCCCAGAGTGCTCAATCCCAAATCTCCTGTCAGTACCCCACAGGCATCTCAACAGGGGCAGTTTTATGGCTCGATGGAGGAAAGCCCAGCTCTCAGCTTCAGCCCAGTAGAGAGCAGCACATCGGATCCTTGACTTCACGTATTTCAGTTAAAGCTTGCAAGCTGAAATGGCTGTGACCCCTGATCATAAATCTCCGTCCTTCACAAGTCTGAACTTGAAGTTTCCCCGTGAGTCCAACTGAAACTGCCATAGCTCTCTTCAACCACACCCAAATTTCCATAATTTCTGCACAGAGAAAAACTCAGGGTGTTAATCTTAAAATCTTCTTAACAGCGAAAATGGTTAGAAATTTGACAGCACATTTAAATATTCCTTTTGTGCTGCATAGAAACGAGACATGTTTATGATTTTAAAGCACACTTCTCTGATAAGGACAAATTGATCGTTCACCAAAAATTGCCACTTCGATCAAGCCATAATGTTTTTAAGTAATGTTGGAATTATTTGTTTTGCACACACCAATTATCCAGCCTGAACAATGGACACCAAAGACCTGGACATGCACCACTTGGTGGATGTCAGCCAGTTTAGATTCTTACACAGTTTTTTTATATTATTGTATTACAAAACACCTGCCAAGGGAATAATTTCATAATGCACTTTTTGTGTCTTCCTAGTGTTTGCTCAAATCCCAAATCAAAAAAAGAAATATAGATATTGCTTGTGTAATTATAGAGGAAAGCAAATATTTCTTTTATTTACACGGGGTTAAAGGGTAAGGGGTTAAAACCAAGTTTGTTTTTGGTCCTTTTTAACTGCTTTTTTTCCACTTTTGCTGAAGCAATGATCTTATCTGTTTACAAAAGTCAGATGGTGATTCTGTGCTATTAATGAACAGATGTTTGAAACAGGTCAACAGGTATTTTTACTGAATGTTGGGATTTTGCAGCTTTTAAAAAATATACATTTTGCAGGGACTAACCTTAAAAGAAAACTTGTTACAAAATTGTTCATTCTTTTAAAAAAAAAAAGTCATTATAAATGGACTTTATAAATGCCCAACTTGGTGTCTGTAAGCTTTTCTTGACTTCGGGGGGCACTGTTGCGCTGCTGTGAGGAAATGGAACCTTTGAAATATTTATAAAGCTGCAACAAAAAGGTCAAACACACAATGTTGCACTGAGGATTTCTAACTTCTTCTGACATTGGTATGAGCCAGTTTACCGGGTGACAATTCCAAAAGCTCCACCTCCTCACCTGATCCTACGCCATTGTCTCCTTTTCTGTTCCCTTTCCCTTTTCTTCCCCTGGTGCCCTTTTCCCCTTTCTCACCACGGAACCAGCTTCTGCTGGGAATCACCACTGCTGTGAAATAAAAGGCCTTTAAGTTGCTGCAGTGATTAGCACGGTCGTTAAATATGGGTAATGAAGAGCTATGCTATCACATCGAGGTTAGAACGCGGTGAAAGGAGACGCTGGGACGAGGCTCGGTGTACTCTAATGGAGCCTCACGGAAAAACTCTTGAGCAACAAAAAGCAGTTCAGGAACAGTAACCGCTGAAGAGGTCTGACACTGCTTTAAAACTCTACTTGCTGCACTTTTTCGTGCACACACCCTCTCATAGAGGCCTTACATGCAGACCACCTGCACGCATGAGAGCGAAGCATCAATATCAAAGACAGTTTTTATTAAACTTCATGTTTAGTTTGCGGTCATACAAAATTGAAGACTGCCTGTTTTAATGCTTTCCCACAAAGTTAGCCGAATAAGAGTGCACAAAAGCCATTGACTGTGCCCCCCCCCCCCTCCCCCCTCCCCAGATGTTTTTCAAAGACAAAATGCTACAAAAGAGTCTGACTTGTTTACATGCTCTTAAGTCCTTTTCTATCAAGTGCCTGTGATGAAGCAATAAAGACGCCATTCACTGTGCTGCATGAATAGTGTCCAGTGTCCTGGAAATGATAATACACCCCGTCATATATATCATTACATAATATATATTTTTTCATTAAATCCTAATTATCAGACAAACATGATGCTTTGAATCCGAAGCAACAGGACCTGAAAATGAAAGTCAACAGGCTTAGCTCTGCAAAGTCACATGAGACAGCTGTCTGTGGTCAGGATGCGGGGCCTGCTAATAACTCGCAGACATTCCCATGCGGCTCCAAGGATGAGAGTTCGATGTTAGACACCTGATATACTGTCTGTGGTCCCAGCAGGAGAAGCTTCCTCTGTGGAGCATAAGTCATTTAGATGTTGGGGCTGTAGGAGCCTGGGAAGCAGCTGCGTTCAGCAGCTACAACTACACTGCACAGAATACTCAAAACCACACATCAAACTGACCCAGCGTTTCAACACACCACTAATTCACTGGCTCTGCTGCGGCTCACATGGTTTTTGACTTGCGCTTACGGTCGTGTGAAACTTTGGTCCAGTTACATTAAAACCGGGAGGGGTTTGTGGCAACCCATGTAGAAATGGCTCACCAGCATCTACTTTGACTAATACTTTCAGGATGAAATACATGGAGGAAGCTGAAGTGTTTTTAAAAATGTTTTTTATCATTCTTCCCAAGAGAATTCCTTGAAAGGAGCCTTCTAATATGGTACAGATCACAGAGAAAGTTGCAATTTTTGAAAGCTTGTTTAAAACCAAGTAAATTGTAATTACTTTCTCCTTTTCAGAAAAAATTATGTAAGTCCAAAGAAATGAGAATAGGGTTTCTTAACCTGGGATTACAGAGAGTTAAGGTTTCATTCTATGTGGCATAGGATATCAACCAAGTTTGCCATGTCATCCACAAATGTAAGCTAAACTCCATGTTGCAAAGGTGTGTGTGTGTGTGTTTGTGTGCGCTTGTTTGGGTGCTAAATTGACCCCCTGGCAGCACAGACCTGTCTGCCTCTAAAAACATTTGGCACATACTGAAATGGAAAATGCAACAAAGGAGGCCCCTAAGCACTGAGCAGGTGAAGTAAGCATGGGAAAACATTTCGCTTCACAGCGGGAAGAGGTGGAGAGGAAAATTGTATTGATTTTAAGTAATTGCTTTCTGTTTTTATTTACAGCTCACATAGCAGCCCAGCCTTTTCCCCAACAAGGATGTTGTGTGCTCAACTAACCTGCTTTAAACTGATCAAATGGCTCATAAGGTTTAGTCGCACCTAATCTGAAATAGATTGAAAATTCTTTGATCTATATCTAGTTTTATATTAGTCATTGTACTGTAAAATAATGATTATTACACAATTTGTACATTTATAGGAAATTAATAAGCCTATCCTCTAAACTAGTCCTTTAAACAACTATGAATATATGCAGCTTTTTTAAGTTAAGTTTAGTCAGCATTTTTTTTTTTTAATAAGACTTATGTTTGTTTTTATTTTTTTATCTTTATGTTGACATCTCACGTTGAGGCACTGGGTAAATTGACAAGAATCATCTAAAAGATTAGCCTTTCAAACTTGAAAACTGCTTGGGATCTAATGTGATCTGGAAAAATCGTCGAAATAATTCATACTATAGACTTTTGAGACTTTGTGATGGAGACTGAAACATTCAACTGAACGTTGAACTGATTGAATCCTTGATTTGGAGTCGTTTGTTAGACGTCTTGGGTCAAATGAAACAGCTGCTAGCACACAAAACCTTTCTTGAGAGCGACAAATCCTTGCAGTGTTAATTCGGAAACTTCTGTGTAGGTGTGACAACCACTGAACTCAGTGCCTTAAATGCATTCTTGGTATTGTTGTCGTCTGTGCTTTTGTATACCGTAGACACTATTATTTAGTCACCTCACTCTTTCCCTCTCGGTATTCACTTCGTTCTGCCCTCCCAGGCCGGTGTACTTCAGAACGAGCCACTATTTGTGTGTGTATCAAATACGGATTAAAACCGTTTAGGGTTCTGGGGTTTCGGGGTCAGATTTTCCTCTTGTCACCACTAAGATCGATGGATGTGACCTCTGACCAATCTGCTCCAATTTGTATATAAACATGGCACCGGCCAATCGCGGCATCGCGTGGGATTGTGCCAACCAATGAGCTTCCCTCCAGCAGTATCATGCTCTGTGGCACTCCTATCTTTTGTCCGTCAGGATTAGTGCCATGGTAACGCGGGCCGCCTGGGAGGTGAGTTTCCCAGAGCAGCGGCACAAGGACAGAAACAGACCGCCTCAGTCCAAGTCTCACTTCCTTCCAGGGCCAATGGGGTGAGCAGAACTGGAGTGGTGTGCATTTGTGTGAGTTAGTCTCCAAGTCCAAAACTTCCACCAAGACTGCCAACTCTAATGAGGTGCCATCCAGAGCCACAAGTTGAGAGTGTGTTTGTCTGTGTGGGTGAGTAGGTGGGTTGGTGAGGGGCTGTCCCACTGTGTTCTCTTCTGTGTGGGGTACTCTGGAGAGAAGTCACCCCACTCTCCCTCCCTTTTCACTTGGTGGACTACATTAGCCAGAAGGGCAGAGGGCCAGGCAGCTGAAATCACCGCTGCCGATGAGGCATGTGACTCCGAACCGAGGCCCCTTTGTTTGGACAATTACAGCCAACGCACAGAGCCCTGGAAATGTCGCATGACATGGGAGTAGAAAAGCATGGGAATGAATAGGCATCGGGAATAATTGAAACCTGGCTGTGTGTTTTGTGACTGCTGGGCTACCCAGTAGGGTCTTGAAGTCATAGACCGTAAAACATTGAAGACATCAAACAAAGGGTTGATGTCGGTTTACTTGCATCTAATTATTTGGTTGCCATACACTAAACAACAGTCAGTCTTTAAAACATGCAGAAGCGGTTGGGTTTGTAATATTTGTTCACTTCAGAGCAGATTAACAGATGAACTGGAATCAGTCAGTCCCCTGTACTGAGCATACCCAGAGCAACAGGTGACAGGGATGGGGAGGACAGCACTTTGGACAGAAAACCTGCAGAACCAGACTCATGAGGGGATGGCTATAGACCTTGACCAGTTCAGTTGAAAAGACAGGGCAGTTAGCCAAACAAAGTATAACAGCAAGCTATGCATAAAGTGTGAGTGAAGACAGCACACTGACTTGTGGTAACAGCGAGCCTGCCCCTATACGCTTTATTCAATAGGAAGGTATTGATTTAAACTTTTAAGGCAGAGATGGTGTCCGCCTTTTTAATCCACCGTGGGATTTGGTTTCACAAGTCGGACCCTGAAAAATAAAGGTTCTGCCTCCATTTCTACTTTCAGAAACCCTACAGAAAATAAGAAAACCCACTGCTCAGAGCTGCGTGTGACTGGGGATTTGATGCTGCAACTATAGACAGTAAGCAGCAGATGAGCTAAGTCATTAAGGCTGAACTAATTTTTCACCATGTGAGTGTGGCCGTTTCGGTCTTTTGGGAGCAGAAAATGCAAAGCCAACACTGAAAGATAATCCTTAAATCTGTTTGAAATGTGTAAACATCACTGCAGACAAGTATTGATTACATCTCTTTTTTTTTTCACGAAGACCACAAGCATTGTGCCCAGAAGAAGTGAATCACCACCATGAAAAACCATAAGTAATGACTTATGGGAAGCGTTTATCGGCCTAGTGTTTGACGATGGAACCAGAGATATTTGGAGCCAGTGTCTTGTGGCTGCATTCTAACCTTCCAGCAGTGACTACGTGTCTGGCAGGAGATGATATCCCAGAATCTTTTTGCACTCAAGGGTTGAACATTACACCTCATCTGATGTACAAATAAAGGGTAGAGAGGATAACTTTTTTTTTTTATCCGCTGTGGTTTTTCTTTGAGCAATAAGATGCCTGAATGCAGACCAGCAGTAACACCCGTCCACAACAGGACGCCTGGGCCACACCAGAAGTCTCATTGCTCTACTTTCCTTACTGGAGTGGTGGACTATTACAGGGTCTGACATTGATAAGTGTTCCACAACTGCAGTTTGGCCTATCCGTGTAGTCTAATCCCATGACCATGCAGGTTTCCTCACTGTTCTTGAAGTTGTGCTGTGTGGTACCAGCATGATGGCTGGATTTAGATGAAGACGTGCATAAGATGAATCGGCTGCTCCTGACAGGCATAAATGACCTCAGTGGGCTTCATTTGTTACCACATTGGTGTTGAACTTATTGAAGACCCTCATCGTCTAACGGTCTGGCTTCGGTTCTTCCGCCTAAACACAAAGCAGACCGTTGGATGTTCCAATGTGTGAGAAAACGTAAGAACTATTTCATTTTGTGGTCTGTTCATAGCTCTGAACCACACAATTTTAAGGATTGGTCAAATAATTAGTCGGTTCCCTTGAGGAGTGAAGGCATTTTGGAACAAGCAAAAGACCATTCCAAACTGTTGGTATTTAAAACTCTACAAATATATATATATGGTAATTCTCTCTTTTTTTTCTTTTTTTTTAAAAACTTCATGGATGGAAGCGTGATTAATGAAAACACATTTTTGCTGCTTTTCTTTAATTTTCATGTAAGTAATTTAGTTTGCAACTCAGAAATCCTCACATTCTTCAATATAAAGGGTGTGTAAGTCATATGGCTCAAATTAAAAGAAGGGAAGGCTCCACTGTCAGGGAGAGTATAACAGGATCATCATGCACAAGATTAGCCCAGTACCAACAGACTGTCCAAAATCATTTGCTGGACAGTAGCCAATCATGTTTTTCAGAGTGTAACTCAAGCCAGCTTCGTGCTGCTTCTTCTGGCTGGGGCTGCTGGACCTGAGCCAGGATAAACCCAACAGCGGTTGTTCATTCAGTGTCTCTCTAACTGGATTTTGCACGATAAAGTGCTCTGAGAAGCACATGATTTCTTCACTGTGTGAATCTGGCTGTATGGTTTCTATAGCTTGTCACATGTAATATCAAGGGCATTACATCACTGTTAAACCCCAGTGAAAAGAGGAAGGCCACTGGACATTTCGACTTAACGAATAGCAAAAGTTTTTTTTTTTAAGGGCAAATTAACTTAAACAGAAATGGATTGTGTCAGGCGCACAGTTGATAGCCTCAAGAAATGATCTCCATTGAATTATCTTGATGAAGGTTGAGGTCGGCTGTCCAATCTGAAATTATGAAAGAAATGTTTACAGGTCACATCAGAACATGGCCGACTAATCAGATATGATATGAATGAGATTTCTTGTGAAAGTGGTGTGTACCAGCTGATGCAAGAGGATATGAGCAAATGAAATATTGGAAATTTCCTAAAATGATTACCAGTACAAGGGAGAAAATATGATCCTTGTTAGATTTTGGCAAATGCGTCATAAGGTGACAAGGGGACCACTGGAAATTCCAAAGTGTGTTAATACTCACTGGCATCTGACCATACAATTCCCGATTTTACTTGAAGAAAAAACAAACAAAGAAAATCTGAAAGTAACATTTGCTGAATAGTTCAAGAAGGGGCATTTCTCTATCTGCTTCTTTGCTGCAACAACGTAAAAAACATATATTTGACTCAACATACAACACACCTGAAAGATTGCAAATGTGTTAAAAAAAAGAAAACACACAATCACATTACACCTTCTCCATTACCTCCCTTGTTGATTCAAATCCCAGAATCACCTCAACACCAAAACAAACACATTATCTTTTCTGTTTTTCTAAAATAAATTGGTAAAACAATTGTATTTTTCGATTAACAAGGTAATATTCATTTCAAGTGAAATTGTCAACTTTGCATTAAAACAAATATCGATTTATTTGTATATCTACCAAGTCAACACTTGAACAAAGACAATACATTAAAAATCATTTTGAGTAAACAGGAAAAGCACCCTAAGTTGATTTCCTCGAAATGGTCATTCAAATTCCCATATGCCATGGAATCGTGTCTGGGAGATCTACACATGCATCCTGCCAGATGTTGTTTGGGCTTACCCGATTTTATCTACACAACACTTGGCTGAAACAGACTCTGCCCTTGGCCCTTCCTTTTCTCTGTACGCTTTCTCACTATTAGCTTCAAAGCTTCAAACCCTTCAGGGATTGCTCTTTACCTTTTCGATTACTTCTTGTCACAGTTTAATGTTTTCTTCAACTGACTCTTGCTTTTTTTTTTCCGGACAATTTGTTCAGTATGTCAGCATTGTCACATTATTTTGTACTTATTATTTTTTTTTCATCGCACGAAAGTCACATCTTGTATTATGTTTCTGTTAGTTTCATGTTGACCATATCTGTCCCTTTTTTGTCTTGGTTATCAAATTTGTGTCTTTAACCTTAGGCGAAGCTTAGAAATAAATCATTTCAACCTTGTCAGGGAATACCAAATTGAGTTTGCTCTTTACACATAGTTTAATCAAACTCACTGTCTTCGTTTACCGCAAAAACACTCTCACTTTTTGATCTGATCCCTAGTCATATCCTTGTCTTTTTTTCCCTTCGTGACTGAGGTTGAGTAACTAACACAGCTGTACAGTCATCGGATCTCCTCTTCGTGACAGACGTAACAGCAAGTCGTCATTGTTGACATAACGCACTCTCACCGTCTGCAGCTGGCACCCACGCACAGCGCAGTGACGTCAGACGCACGTATTCTGGTTTATTGAAGCAATTAACTTGCACATAACGGCCGCAAAGAGCCGTAAACAATTGTGTTTTGCTTAGTTAACATTACATTGAGGTATAGTTTAGTCAGGAATCTGAAAGGAATATTTAGAAAAGAAAAAAAAAGCGCAACAATCATAGCAACAACATTTGAAAAAAGCGCAACAGTCATAGCAACAACATTTGTTGTCATTAGCAACCACTGGGCTCGCGCTCGGTCGTCTTGGTTAGTTGTTGTGTTGAAAAGTAGGTCATTTAAAAGGTATCAAGTAAGGTCAACTTCAATTTAAACAGTTGATTTTATGTAAGATAATGGACTCCAATTCCCTGTACTATTCTCTGGAACTTGTTGCTGGTAGTGGGAATGTTTTATCCGTCGAACAAAGAGCCGCCATGCAGACTTCCATGGTCATTCTGAAGAAAAACTACAAGTTCGAACGAGTCTTGTTTTGGGGCAAAATACTGGGAATAAAGGGGGAATACTTCATCGCCCAGGGGAGAGGAGAAGATGAGATGAAAGACAGGAAGAATCTCTACAGGTGAAGCAACCACAGGTGCTAATGAATGGTGTTTTTATAGCTGCTGTAGGTTTGTCCTCATACCAGTGTCCTGATGTGTCATCCCCAGCTTCAACTGTGTGGACTGGCTCCTGCTTCCCCCAGCCACCGACTCTCTGATTGAAGAAGTGGCAAAAGCTGCAAAGGGTCGCTTCATGGGAGACCCCTCCTATGTGTATGAACAGACGGTCCAGAGTGAAGGAGAGCGGGAAGCGGGTGCACAGGAGGCCGTGGTAAGTGTGAACATGGCTGTGATTATGTGTCAGGCTGTGAGGTAAAGTACTGGGACTGAGGCAGTGTTCCGCTCTTCAGCAGTGCTGCCTTACAGAAAGGATTATATAATCCTGTGGGTAGTCTATAAATAAATATCCATCCACTTGCTTTGACCCAAAAGAAACACAATAGGCAAGTTCTTAAGCCATAACAAGAATGGGATGTAACACCGAGGTTACGTTGACTCTCTGGAGATGTATTCATGTCTAATCTCTCCTGTAATAAAATACCACCTGAGAGAGAGGCTGTTCCTGGTTACAGAGCAAAGTGAGTGAGGAGAACAGGCTGGCGGTGACCGTTCACCTCATTGATGAAGAAGTGTCTGTGGTGCCTCGGGGTGCCTTCATCAAGAATCCACATGGCCTCGTGCAGATCAACCGCAGCTTTGGTGGTAAATTTCCGTTCGTCCTGTGGCATGTGTCGGTGTGTTTTTATGTTTATGAATGCGGCTGAACCACTGAGTCACTTATCTGATGTGGATGGATATGAGGCATATTTTCGAGATCTATTTCGTAATCATCTTTGTTCATCATCTGCCTCCAACCTTGCTAAGTGATTCACTCTCATTTGACCATTTTGTTTCCCCTTCCTTATCCCCACAGGTCTCTCTGACTCAGAAGCGAGGAAGCTGAATAACTTCATGCACTTCACTGAACCAAAGAATGTAAAGAGGAAGCCCATCCCTGAGATGGGCGAAAGCACCCCAGCTATTGACTTTCTGGAAGTACTGAGTGATGACATTCCTAAAGGTGAAGAAGCTACTGAGTTCAAACCACCTGGCGTAGCAGTGTGTACAGTCAAAACAATTCCATTTTACAGCATCTGCCGCGGCAGGACGTGAACCAGCAGTTAGACCAGAAGCGTGTGCTCTGACAGCATTAGCACACGGTGATACAACAGGTTCCTTCCTTTTAATGTGTTAGCTGGTCCTACATTTCAACAAAAGGATATGAAATTATTAATGATGATTCGCCTGGGGCAAAGCGGTTTTCATCCCAATGGAAGGAAATTGCATAAGAAAGCTTAACTGATAAGCTAAATCTCCTGTTGGATGAGAAAGTATCGGGGAGATGGATTTCTGGGAACATGCTGGAAAAAATGTCTTGACATAGCTCGTTGAGTGTTCATGCAGAGGTCTGACAGCCAGACGATTGCCGTTAGATTTGAAATGTCTTCACTCTTCATCCTGGATTCAGCTGAGTGAGCGGGAGAGTGAGCAAGATTCATGGCTCCGGAGAGACTTCCTTTCTTTTAGGCGGGTAATTTTCCACAAAGGATGCCATATTTGGCTGCACAGTGTTGTGATTGCTCTTACAGTTGCTTCACAACCAGAAGGCTCCTGGTTCAAAGCTCAGAGGCCTTTTTATGTGGAGTTTGCATGCTTGCTGTGTACCTCTTTATGGGTACCCCAGCTTCCTTCTGCTGTCCAAAAACATAAATATGAGGTTAACTGGTGATTCTTTATGGTGCTTGTGATAGACTCGCAACCTTTCCAGGTTTTATCCAGCCTCTGGGATAGATTCCAGCTCCCTAAAGCCTGAATAAGATAACGCAGAAAAACAGATGCATACTGTCTCTCCTTGCTTAGCTCAGTTTTGTTTTGCCAACTGTATCATCGTATGGAGTTCAAACACTGGGGACAAGCTCAAGCACTTACTATGTTACATGTAATGGAAAAATCAATCACAGGAGGTAAACATTAAGCCATGAATACTGCGAAACCAGTCATGTGAACACAGTTATGCATAGTCATGTCTACAAGTCTCTGCGGTTTGTAGATGGATGAAATCCAGGCCAGAATGAGCACATACAGTGAGGTCCTGGGTGTCAACGCACTTGCGTGTTAAGAGGCAGGAAAAAATGTTTGGCACCCACAAACAAACATGCAGCAGATGTCTGAATAGACATGTACTTGCGGGTGTTCTTTAGAGTTGGGTGTGGATGTCAGCAGTCGTCAATACAGCAGACACTACGCAGCAAGCACACTGTGTCGCATTCTTCCACAGACAACAACAGAGTTAACGTTTTGCAACGGCACCCAGGGGAAGAGGCGAAAGCATCCCCACCAAGACAGGTGCTTTACTGCAAGACCAAACGCTCAAGCTAACTGTTTCCAGCTCCTGATTTACATGCGTTTGTCTCTTGCAACAGACATTACATGTTGCATCTTACATAACAAATGGCATGTGGCAGTTTTACTCCTAGTTGCATCACACTCTGAGCTGCATCCAAAACCAACAGTGTTGGAACAGCTGTCTTATCTATTGGACATGCCTCCCTTTTGTGTAATCAAATGTTTTCCTAGTAGTCAGTCCAGTTCTTGAATAATTCCCATGGTCCCGGTGTTCACAGTCACACCCAAACATATTGAGAAACGGGTTAGACGGCAGACATCAAAAGCACAAATGGATGATTTATTAGTCAAGGCTTTGGCAGTGTCTGGCATGTGAACAGTGTAGAATTTACAAAGATTACTGCTACCTCTCTTCCAATGCAGAGGAATAGGCTATGGCCACCTTTTGCATTTCACATCAACTGTTTATCAGTCTTCCTTTTTTTGTTTTTAGGTTCGTGGAGCCTTCAGTTTGAATGCGCAAGCAAAGTGTGTGTGCTGCGCAGCCTCCTGTGGCTTGGACTGACTTTCTACCATGTGCCCATGACACCATTGCATGGATACGTCTACATCGGTGACGGGATGAAAAATATAGACCTTCCTTTCATGTTATGAGAGATACATATTAAACATCTGTAAAGATGTTCATCCCACAGTACTTTAGTTCAGTCTTTCAGCTGATTAAATAGTCTCAGTCAACAACAGTTTGGGTCTACACATTTCCACAAAAGCTGTTCTTCCACAGTAAACATCCTGAGGAGCAGAATAAACTCACTTGTTTTATTTGAACATCTGTGTTTTCTTGAGTTTATACAGTCAACATACCACCTACTTTGAAAATGCAGTCAATGACTCAGCTATAGCACGTGTTGAGGTTTCCGTGTTTCTACTTCAGAGGCTATTCTTAAGACACTGGCAGAAATGGTGGTTCCAGGTGAGACTTTCATTAAAGTCTGATCTACCTTAATGAGCATATGTTAAGATAAACACAGACGGATGATGAGATTCTCTTTCCAAACCAGGATGATACAAGTCCAACAACCCTGCAGATAGCGCTGAGACATGGAGCTTTCCATAGCATCCCCGAACAGCAGTTTTACTGATTTTGTCCCATTTTTCTGTCCGGTTTCTTTCAGTGCTTTATATACAAGGGCTTGACGCCATAGCGTACATTGTTCTTAAGTGCTGGGTGACCCACAGCCATGCGCTTCTTGCACCACTTCAGTCCACTTTTATAAATGGGTTGCACTGAGTCGATGGACCAGCGTGTAAGGTACCTGTAGATTAGACAGATGTAAAAGAATTAGCAGTAGTTTCAAATAGACAAACATGCTTACTGATGCATCGATAGAGAGAAAAATCTTACATGTTGAGTTTCGGCTTGGGTCTCTTTGGGACATGACCGTCTGGAAGTTTGGGCTTGTGATCAGGGAGAAGACCTTAAACACAGATAACATTAAAATACATTAAAAGTAATCACTCATAAACAGTAAAAATGGATATTAGAAATGACCTCTTTGCAAAGAAAACATTTTTACAATAGTGCGCCATATTTTTATGTGGCTCTTGTTGCTTTTTGGCAGTGATGATGATGCACAAAAGAGTCAAGCTACCATGGCCAAACTGATAAAGGTTAAAAATGTCAAAATGAACAGAAAGGTTTAGAGAGCCCACATTTTTTTGTTTGAATGCAGCCCTGTACTGACCTGCTCTGTGAGCCATCTGCACACAAATGGCAATTTTGTGATGTTCCTCTGGACAAAGACCAGTTATTCTCCTGGGCAACATCCCTCCATCTGACCTGATGAACTGACTGAGCAACAACACATCCTGGGTAGGAGCAACAGAGAGACATCCATCCATTGTAAACTACACATAAATTGAAATTATGTGGGATAATTAGTTGGAGACATGGTGGTGTTGTATTTACAGTGTAGTTGTATTTGTGTTGCAGGTTCCATCTGTAGATAGGACACTTGGCTGTGGGATTTGGAGGCTGTGGTCCAACTGGAACATCTAGGATTTTTCCCTCGACCTGCCAAAAGATGAACATCTATTACAGCGCTTCTAGTAAGACATCTTTCAAGTTGATTACATAACTAATTAATATCTAATTATGCTAATTGTCCATCAAACAACATGTATCAATGACTCCACAGAATCGGCTCTTTTTAAAGACTTCAGCCCAGATTTACTTACAGTTGTTGTTTTGCCATCTTGCTTCTCCACCACTGTGAATAACAGGTACAGCATTAGGCTTTAAACATTAACGTCGAATGCTTTTTGAGGTTTCATGCAAACAAAATGAGCTCTTTGCCTTACTGAAGTAACTGTGTGCTACAGCAATATTCGGCATCAGCACACAGTAGTCTGTCTTGATGACATTTCTTTTACATTCCATTCTACGAATACGTGTTTTTGCACATTTTGATCCTATAACTGATTTAGAGACCATACATTATATTCATATTGTTGTAACTGTCGCTTGATTTGATAGCTCTGTCTGACGTTTATTCAAATGATGCCTAAAACTTTCAGTACAAAAACTCTTATCTTCGACTATTTATTTGCTCCAGTAAGAACTTTCATACAAAAAGAAGATTCGTGACAGAGAGAAGCGCAAGCATTTAGCAAATGTCAAGTACCCATTACGTGCTGCACTAGCATGCTACCTTTATGCTAACTGTGTAGCTAAAACTGAGGCGACTGAGTAGTCTCACCTTGACGAATCCCTCGGTTCTGTATTGTGCAAGCAGACAGCTGTGGAACATTTACTTTATGAAGCAAGCCCACGTTGATACCTCCAGTACTTAGTTTTAATGATGGAAGCGAGGTCCACACAGACTTCAGCATACTGCGGGCCGCCATTTTTAATTTGTGACCTTCCCCTGTTTCTCTTCCTATTTTGTAATCTCGCGATTTTACAAACCCAAGCGCAAACCCATTTTCAGAATGGGTTGTAGAGGTGCTGGGCTTTACGTTGTCATTATCGAATGAAGTATTACTAGAACAAAATGCTTTCTGTGTTAATTCAGTTAACAACCAGTTTAATCTGTTGCCAACATTAAAATTGTAAAACAACACATGGGGTATTTTCAGCACATGTGTCGTTTTGCCATTTTCTCGCGGTCACAGACTGCATGAGGGAAATCCAATGGGCGCAATTAAAACTGTGCATAATTAATGTTAATTGCTCAATTACATCCAGAAATGAACCGTAATCATTTCAAAAGAGGAATTAGACGTTTCTGATTGTAAATTATTGGGGTTTTGTTCAAATCACAGGCTTTCATTTTAAACAATTATCTGCTGCAGGAGGAAAAATTGCAAGTCTCATTTCCTGTGATCATTTTCCAACATGTCTGGGTTTTACCCTAATGTTGGTAGTGTGGACTTTCACCTGTTGAAGAAGGTATCTCTAAAGAAAATATTTTGGTATAATTTGAATTTAAACACGCTATAAATGAATAAAAACTTTGATCCTGTCATTAATAACAGCAGCTTAATTAGAGCCTTCGAACCTTATTTGTAAGATTAGGGACATGCAAGAATATCAGGTGATCTACCGAAAGGTTCATATCTTGGTAGACTTAGAAAAACTGTTAACTCATGTTTTTCAATTTGTTATACAGTAAAGTATTTGGGAGTGATATTTTGAAACCTTTAGAGGGAACTATTTTTTTTTCCATTCATCTGCTACTTTCTCCCTTGAATGGGAACCTGTGTTGTTTGGTTTCTTTGACCCCTGAAGGTTACAAATAATGGTATGTAATAAATCTTGTTCAGTCTACAAACAGAAAGTCAATCAAGAGAAAATAAACCTCTAATTACCAAACTTTACTTTAATTTGTTTGTATGTACTGTGTTCATGTCCAATAAAATTACATCAAATCCCAGTAGATAATAAGTAAATAAATCATTAAAAATTATCATTAAGTGCATGTTTCAATTGTAACTTTACTTTTACTCTAAACTGATTAAATGTTGTGTAAAGGACAACGTTAATTAAATTGATCAAAAGATTTATGGGTCTTCATCAGTAATGTGTTGTTATACCTAAATTTAAGCCAAGATCTTAATCTAATACAGTCACCCAAAAAAACAACACACAGCCAAAGAGGAACAGTAAGCAGTGAAGGTTTACTTACTCTGCCAAAAATTTACAGAGTTTATTTAATAAAAGGTTCAACACAAGGACAATGAGAAAGTCACATTCAGATCACAGTGTTAAGTTATTTTTTAGCCTCCTGCAGTCTGCACAACAACCTGCATCATGTATCGCTCCTTGGATACTTTCATCCTTATGTTGCTGTTCTCCAGATTCTCAGAGATAGTCTCAAAATCCAAGCTTCTATTCATGCCATGCTCACCAGATAAAAGGAAGAGAAGCACCTACAGGACCATTGTGGGAGCATACCAAGTCTCCCCAGCAGAAAGTTCAAGATACAGGCTCTTCGTGCACAGATAAAAAGGAAGATGAAGTGTCTGATGTTTGATAGCATTATCATGAGAACACTGTGCCATTGTCCTGTTGTGATGTTTGTGTTTGCTGTTTTTCAGTGTCTATCTCATGCATTTATCTACAAGTGCATAAAAGAAGGCTTTTAGAAACCAGCACAAGCGGAAAGTCATTTTTTTTGCCAAGATTCCAGTTGTATTCTAAATGGCAGTGCACAAAAATACCTTATGATACCTTATTTTGGGACTATTTTAGAGCTATCTTAATCATAAAACACCTTCTCTTGTTACTCACTTTTGGGTTCCTGCTATCATATTAAAAATGCTTTCCTTCCTCTGACTTATTTCAAGCATGCAACCTGTTGGGGGATCTTTAGAGATTGAAAGGTACCCGGTGTATATTTGACAACATGTGGTACAATAGGGAATGTGGAGCCCTGTGCCTTGTTTATTATTGTACCCTTTCATGCTTGCATGAATGCAAGCATCCATACGAAAATTGCAGTGCAAAATCTTTTTCCGTAGCATGCCTTGTCTAGATGCAAAACTTTAAATTTTGCATTTGTTTTGATGAACACAAATTCTGCACACATATTTTTAAGCCCTCAGAATGACTTTCAGTGTATTTTAGTTGAATGTCTGTAACATGTGTCCAACATTTTTTCTGGTTGTAGCAGAGGGGGATGGTAAAATGTTCAGATTAACTACATTTTCATTTGATACATTTTATATCTGTATGAACACAAGCTAGGATGTTTTCCCCTTAATCATAACTAATTATATTGTAATGCCTTGTTTGAATCTATTTTATCTAAAAACTTTCCAAGAGTGCCTCCGTTCCTCTTTCAGGGCATAGTGGGGACTTAAACATATGGGGAAGCATCTTTTATTTTTTATTGTTCTGACTTGTGGAACAGCCTCCCTGGAGACCTGAGGGTAGCTGGGAGTGTTGATGTTTTTAAAGGAAAACATACGCCCTACATTTTCAGTAAAGCTTTTAGTTGAATATATTCATTATAAAGGGAAATTTGATTTTTAAAAGTTCTTTATGTCTAATCCAGTCTTATTACTTATTTAACATATATATATTAGATACATAGCCTACATATTTTATTGTTCTTATTTAATTTAACTGAATCATGTTCCTGTTGGTTTGGTGAGCTGTTGGGGGACACGGGATGTTTCTTATTCTTCTTGATGCCTCAGTTTTAAATCCATTTAAAGCATTTGGAATGACAGTATATTTGTTTGAAAGGTTGGGTTGATGTTATAACAATATTCAAGACCGGTTTTTTTACTTGACTGTAGTTTGCATGTTTCTATCCATCATCCCTCTGATCTCCATTGCAGACTTTTGGCTTTTTCAGAGGTAGCTTTCAACCTGGAACAGATGCACCTTCATTTAGTTTAAATATAATACATGAAAGCCCCAAAGTGGCAAGGGAGGCTTTGTGTGTAAGGTCAAACCGGTGCTGCAGAACTCAGCACTTGTACCAATAATGCTGTCGTCACTCAGATTATTGGGTGGCACTAGCACTATGTGTGGGCAGGACTGAGCTTTCTCTGTCTGAATCACCAAAGAGAAACTGTCAAGCCACAATCAAGGGGAGACTTTGTGGCCATTTAAGTGTGATAAAACAGCTTTTTGGTTTTTTATTTTTTTATTAATGCTCAAAAATCTTTAAAGCTTAAAAAGCGGCAGTAAAAGTAAACGCTGTTACTGTTTGTCTGACAAAGTGATCACGACCATTTGAGGTTCTGCAGTTAGAATGGCCCAGCATGGGCTTTGAATATGTTAAAGGCCCTGTTCATCTGAATTAATAATGTGTATCTTGGGTGATCTCATCACAAATGGATAACTATGTATACAGACGGGAATGCACCCTGGAAACACGTTGAGGATGCTTTGAGATTAGATCGCTGCTAAAAGAATGTGTCAGTAAATGGCCACATTCTTAAAGCAGATTGAATGCAAACGTGTCCTTGGCCATGGTAACGGATCATCAACCCAGCTGTGCTATGTATTATCAGCAAGCAAGGGAACTGCAGGTCCGTGCAGTTGATTCAGCAGCCACCCTCCTGGAATCTGAAAGTAGAAATGCTAAAACTTTAATTGCTGGGCTGGATCGTTGTTAACTTATTTTCCCTGTTTCTTTGTTGGACGTCAAGGAGAAATGTCTCCCCATCCTCATTGTTAGGTATTTCCAAGTCTTTCTTAGATGTTTCCTGAACAGAGAGCATGGATTCACATGAAGAAAGGGATTCCTGAAAGGCGCTCACCATTACGGCTCCTTGGTTTCTCAAGGAAAAATGTGAGCTATTTCTCAAGTGCCATCCAAACCTTGAAACTGAAAATTCCCAATTCTGTGATGCAAATGGACATCTGTGCTAATTTCCACTACAGAACAGAGAGTAGGCAAATAGAGATTATGGTCACCCTGCCACCACAAAGGCTGCTTTGTGGCGGTGATCAGATCCCTCCGTCTAGGACACTTAAGCAGTCACATTCCTTGAGGGAAGTCCAAAAAATGTCATTTAAAGTGTCTGGCCACCTCCTCACGGGCTTTGATATTCAAATGAAACATGGCCCTGTACAAACAGGCGCCTCAGCTAAGGAAGAGGGGGGAAGAGTAAATCAGATAGGATTTCCCTCAGATGAAAAGAGCATGTCTGACATTTTCACAGCGAGCACTGAGGGACCCTGAAGCAATGTTGGTTCGATGTCATGGTGGGAAGTTATTGCTATGTGGAAAAGGTTAGTGTCTTCCCCCCTGTTCTCCTGGATAAACTGCTGCTACGCAGCATGGAGCGAGCAGATGAAATGAGAGTGGAGTGAAGATGAGTGGGCATGGTCACATCACACAAAAACAAATCCAAACCACCCCACGGTATTCCCCTTTTATTGTCACACTGCTCCGTTTGTTTTGCTTTTAATGTTTTGGTGAGGGCTGAAGGGCCCCTGGCGATGGGTTCTGTCAAAGAGTCTAAACAAAGGAGGACCTGAAAGAGGGTCAGAATAGCAATACCGTGGGATCTGAACAGTAGCAGGTCCTATCCAAACTCTTGAATTACAAAATATGACTCTCTAGCATGACTTTCTAATGTTTCAAACTGCTCTGTGTTCCCTTAGATTTTTGCCAGTGAGAACCAGAAATGAAGACTAGTTCATTCCCATGCAGATGGAATCTGTGGATTTGCTGCATTTGAATTGATGGGCCGGTCTGGTATGCAATTAAGGCATAGCTGTCACTAAGAGGCTTTCCTGGGTGATTAACTTGTAAGGCCTGTTGCATCCGAGGAAGTCAGCTGAACACAATTAGCCTATTTCGAGTTTGCTTGAAGGCCTCAATTGCTGTAAAATGAGATGAGAAAAAAGAAAGCCGTCAAAGCAGACAAGTGGAAACAGAAAT